TGCCTGGCGTTTGGTGTGGCGACCACGACATCTTCTTCTGTGTTGTTCTGTGGCTTAACCCGGTTTCTCCAACCCTCTATTCTGGTGGTGGTGGATTGCAAGCTTGTCCTGCTTGGGGTAATGCTCCAGCCGATGCTGCTTCAACGACTTTTAGATCTCGTCTCAAGGGGCGAGTGGCTATTGCGGTCTTCAAAGCCTTGTATGACGAGGGCATTTGCAGGTGTTGCTTTTCTTTGTTGTTGGTTCAGTGCAATTTTCAATCACCGGCGGGCAGCGTACAATCAGAGAAAGAAGAAGACTAGTATGCTTTTTATTGTAATTTTATTTTTTTACTGATTGTTCTACGTCCAATTGTCTATCCATTGTACTGGCCTTTGTTTTCCTCGATGATAATTAGATTTAAGATGCCCTTTAGGGTGTCTTTATTCAAAAAAAAAAGTGGCTTCGGCCTGGAGAGTGTAACGCACATCCCAGGCGGCTCCCCTAGCTGTAGTGCGCCTTCTTCATTTCAGAACAACTAGATAATTGTCCGGACATTGCTACGGGAGTGTAACACTGGTGTGCTAAAATCTTAGCAACTTTTTGTATGCAATTGCCATAATTTACATGTAATCTTATTGTTAAGCGCTCATTTGGTAAGAATTGATTTACTTACCAAAGAATATATTATTTAGGAGAAATATCAGGGATGGGAGGAAAAATGTCTCCTTATTGTTAAGGACTTATGTGGTAAGAATTTATTGACTTACAAAAGAATATTATTATTTGAGAGAAAAATTAGAGGTGGAGAAAAAAAGTCAAACATGATAATGGAAGGGGGACCATATATAATGAGGTTGAACGAAGAAGAGGGTGAAACGGGAACCTTACTTTCCTTTTAAATTGCACTAGGTATCTAGCCGCGCGTTGCTACAGGGTATAAATATTCTAGTATAAGTTAAACCATAATTTATTTATCCATATAATATTATTTTTGTAAATAAATGTTTACCCAATCTTGTATATGATTTTTATTTTGTAATCACTTATTGACTTATCAAAGAAAATATAATCTATTTATATATTGTTTGGTATGTCAATAGAAGATGGGACAATTAATGTGGTTTTGAATGAATGCTCACAAGGAAAAATAGTCTTTTTCCAAGTAGTATATATAGAAGGATATAGTAGAGATTCGGCCGCACCCGCTAACTTGGCCCTTCTTTTGGCCCAGCCTGCACTAGGGCTGCAAGAAAAGCTCGAGGCTCGTGAGTCGCTCGAGATCGACTTGTATTTTAACTCGACTCGAGAATGACTTGGAAAAATGAGCTTAGTATGAGCACTTTATATAGCTTGAAGGAGAAACCAGTTGATCTTGAGCCTGCATTGGCTCGCTCGATTTTAGCTCGATAGCTCGATATCATACAAGTATGTTAAATAATATTCATGTCTATTATGAAGAATTAGGATCATCCATTGCCATATACGTTAGGTACGATTTCTTTCTTCATTTTACCTACTAGCAAACATGGAAATTAAGCGTGGAGAAAATTTAGCCTCAACATGACATGTGGTCAACCATGTGTTCAATATCTTGTTATTTTGGCCAAAGTTTGAGCAGACACATCTTCGATTGTCTTCTATCCATGATCTCTTGTTACTCGATACTCCCTCCGCCCCATAATACAAGAGTATTATTGATACTACACTAGTGTAAAATACCCTTTTATATTATGGAACAGAGGGAGTACTACTCTTAAGTTCAAAAAGAATAAGTCAAATTTTATAATGATGTTTTTTGTCGTGGCCTATCTTACTCTAAAATTTGCCTTAAAGTAATTTTAAAAATCATCTTATTTAACTCTAAACTAGCTTGAGATCGACTCGAGATCGTTAGAAGCAGAGCACGAGCCACTTTTTACAACTCGACCTTGAACTTCACATATTTTAAACTCGCTCGAATTTTAATATGAGTTGAGTTGAGCTAAGGCCAATTCGCTCGAACTCGACTTTTTTGCAGGCCTAGACTGCACCCCACAAGCCCCATGGGTTATTTATTAGCGTGGTAGTACTACTACCTCCTGTCATCCTGTGGTCGCTGCCACAGAAAAAGCCAGAACTGGCGCTACTGTAGGCATGTTTGTCCCTACGCCGTGGGGAAACGGGACGGAAGACGCACACGGCACGGGCACACGCTTCCATTGCTTTTGCTGCCGCTCCCTCCCGACGCGACGAGACGGGGCACCTTCTCTCACATGCCGTTACTTACGCTCGAAGCATATTCTACTCCGTGTTTTTCTTCCCGAGCTCCTCCTGATGCATCCCCGAAGCTCAGGCCATGTGCTCACTTTGAAGCTAGGACACGCACATCTGCCGCCCTCGAACGATGGTCGCGCGCACATGAGAAGCCCCTAGTTGCCCTTTTTATACCTGTTTTTTTTTCTCGGAGATCATACTGCACCAACTTACCCACTAGAGCGGGGCAGTTTACTAATACTGTAAGACGCCGGTCGCGGCGAAGACCACCGTCCGCCCTAGATCCAGAACGGAGTCGGAGAGGAAGGACGCATGGCTCAGACCGGCCTCGACCCGACGACCGCGTCCCTTGTTTTACCCGGGAGACCGGCGGTGGGGCGCTGGTCCCGCTCCCGCTCCCGTGGGTGGCGCCTTTGAACTGTTCCCGCCGCGCCTTCGCGCACGCCCACAGCACAGCAGCGCCCGTTCCCCGGCCCATGCGAGCTCGACCGGTGAGGAGGAGGTCACTCCATCTCCATGTGCGCCCCTGCCCGAGATCGCCGAGATGTTCGCGCTGGTCTATGCTCAATGACTCAGCGCTCTCCTGGCCCTGGCCCTGGGCCTGAGGCCACCAACTTCGCTGGACCCGCCGGGCACCCGTGTCCTGCTCGGCGTACGTTTCCCCTTGGCAATGCGATGCCAGTAGTACAGTGCGGTGCACGATACCTCACCCCCAGCGTGGACGACGCATGCATATTCTACCGTTCGCCGTGCTGCCAGCCAGAGCCAGGAACAAGAGCGGTAGGTGAGCGGCTTCCTCCGTCGCACTCATGCATGGTCCATGTCACCTATCCTAGCTTGTCAATCACCTGTCGTGCCTAATCAATCTACCAAAAACGCTCAAAAGGGAGGAGGCACTTGAAAGTGACGCGAGCTATGCCTATGTGCGCCATTGTGCGATGTACTCTACTCGCCAGCGTAAAATTCTCACTCCGAAACTGGGCGGCCGCGACACGGCTGACTCACCAGAGTTTGGAGCTATTCCCCTAGGGAGAAGCCTTCTCGCCGACTTTCGCGACAGGAGCGGTCGCCTTTGTTTATCATTCGGAAAAAGAGAGAGACGCTTTCGGAAAAGCGAAGCTAGTATGAAATGTCTATAGCAGTACTAGCCCGTCGCACGCGTAAAAGCGAGCGAGCGCGAAATTTATTCGAGATTTCGCAGCATTGTCTGGCACAGTTGCTGCCTGCTCGACGTGCAGCAACAGTGTGCGTGGCTGCACATGGAAATTTACCAGATGCAGTGCACGGATGTCCGGAAAAAAGATAGAAGTACGTAGCGAATATACTAGTGAGGAAAAAAAAAGAGAAAGATACTACGCAGTAGTGAGGAAAGTGGAATTTTATATGGGATGTTTGAAAACGGAGAGGAAGCGAGGCAACGGCTCACGTCCGGATTGCACGGACGAAGGCGTGAAGCCATCAACAAACAGCGATTTCGGGGAAATGACAGGGACCGACCGACCGAGCTCAACGTCCGTCCGCGCCATGCCAACAACCCCGTATCTCAGGCTTTGCTGCGACGCACGAGATCGTCTGCGGCGACCATCTCCGTTGCTTCAAATTCAAAAGCACCTGACGGCCTGAATCTGTCAAACATACCACTCCAATGTTACTCTGAACATCGGATCGCGAAACGGCCCACGTGACCGTCCCTGGGGTTCGCATGAAACATGATTCGTGGCACGAAAGTTTCGCTGCAGGATGGGCCAGAATTCTCTCAATCATCTTTGGGCGGGGCCCATGCGAGCACGTAAATGGCTAGCAAGAAAGTGAAACAAACAAACAGCGTTGCGGGGGCCAGCGGAGACCCAGTCCCAGTGGGGGCGCACCGGTGGATCTCGCTCGCAGAGGATCCGACGCACCGGCCCGTCGAGCTGTCCAGCACATCCATCCCTCCCGGGTGGAGCCCCACGTTTCGCCGCCCGCCTCGCAACAGGCCGCGCCTCCCACTACGCCAGCGCCTTCCCACGCCGTGCGGGGTGTCTCCAACGTCACTGACACGGCGGCCACGGGCTGCGCTGACCTACACGTCGGTCACGTATCGTGCTCTATCGTCTGGGCGTCTAGTCCTTGCGCTTTATCTACCCCTTTTTGTTAGATACGGATATACGAGGGACACCCGATGCGGATCTGACGGCCGGGATTCGTTTCGAGGTGCTACAGATCCCTCTACCGTACCCTGCGCACGCACGCTCCCCTCCATTGCGCTCCCACGGCACCACCCCACCAC